CAGTTACTCAATCCTAGGTAGTTTGTTGGAGTAGTGGGACACCTCACCCTTTGACCTAGTTTAAACCCCTTTCAGATTTTGCCACCTGGACTTTATCAGATAAAATCTCCTTTTTAAATGTGATCCTCCCCTATCTTGCCAACTGCCATTATCTCTTTTTGTTTCAAAAGATAATTACTCAACATTATCTTTATCTCTCTTATCTTGCCAACTCACATGCTGATCTGTCATGGGGCCCAGGATCCGAATCTGACATGGCTCAAAACTCCTCCAGCCAATAAAAATTTTACACGTGGCATTAATCTAAAATTTTGCAATTTATGGTGTAAACAGAACTCTTTTTACTACTATATAAAAGTAGTTTTCATTGTGCATAGGGTTTAAAGTTTTCCGCTGCTTAATTATACACCATGCGAATTAATTGAATTTCTAGTGTTTAGGTGTAAAGTTCAAAGTGTTAGTGGAGTAATGAATTTATTTTCAGTCTGATTTTCCTTTCTCTTGTTTCAGTTAATTTATTCTTGTATATCTTTTTTGGTTATTGATTTCAGATAGAAGAATCCAATTGAAAATTCACCTCTGTTGCGATTCTAGACTCTCTCCATGGAATATCTTGATATAATAATCCCATCATTGATAGATAAAATAGAACAGTATGCTCATTCCCAAAAAGAACTGAGCAACCCGTTGAAAGATATTTCGAAAAAACCTGAAAAGAATCCAAGGAATCTCGAGTCGAGAGAGCTTCTGACTCGAATTTGCAATGTGGAGGATACCATTGACTCCATCATTGCTAGAAAAATGCGGCAGAAACAAAATATCTCCATCAAGAAGGTTCCTGTCAAATGTTTTTCAACTGCAAAAGCAGTGTCAAAAATCCTTACAAGTTGCACAAGCAAACTAAGAGGCTAAAAAGAATATTGAATGATTCCTTGTCTGCCGCAGTTCTCGAAGAGCAGTTACAGAGCAAATCAGATGCCGTAGAGGTTCCAGCAAAGGAGTCCTCTAGTAACACGGTTCCTCAAAAGAAGTCCTCCAAAGACGAAAGACATCATCAGAGTTGGGAGGAAGGGTCTATCCCAATTGTCTTGGAGGAGTTAGTAAGCAACTTAGCTCAACCAGTACTCCTTAGCAGGCGGAGGAGGCAACTTCTCATTTTGAAAGCCAATTTGGAATACCCGAGTGATGCAATTTTCTTGTGGACTTCCTACCATTCTTCTGTTACTAAACAACATTTTCAGTTTTGCTGTTGGGTTCTTGTTTCTAATGTTGGAAATTAGATCCTATTATTTAGCCATTATATCTATAATTTAGGAAGTTTAAGTTATTTATTTGTTTTAAGTTATTATCATTTAAATTTGATTAAATAAGATTGGTTAGTTATCTTTTTAGATAATATTATCTTGTAAAACCTATTTAAAGGTTGGATTATTTTCAGTTTAATGAGAGATTCAGTTTTTCATTCCATCTTCTTCTTCTCGGGAATCCTTGATTTTTAACATTTGGTATTAGAGTCTATTCTGGGAAAATTTCATGGCTTCCGAAAATTATGTTCAGCCCTCAATCCCTCGTTTTGATGGTCATCACTACGACCATTGGAGTATGTTGATGGAGAATTTTCTTCGGTCCAAAGAGTATTGGATTGTTGTTGAAGCTGGAATTCCAGAACCAGCAGCAGGTGCAAATGATGCACAGAGGGCAGAAATTGAGAAAGAAAAATTGAAGGATCTCAAGGCTAAGAACTATTTGTTCCAAGCCATAGATCGGGCTATCTTGGAAACAATTCTTAACAAGTCTACTTCCAAGAATATTTGGGATTCCATGAAGAAGAAGTACCAGGGGAATGAAAGAGCAAAGCGGCAACAGCGCCAGGCTTTGTGGGCAGCATTCGAAGTTCTGCAGATACAGATTGGTGAATCTGTAGATGATTATTTTGCAAGGACGCCAGGCTTTGCGGGCAGAATTTGAAGTTCTGCAGATGTAGATTGGTGAATCTGTAGATGATTATTTTGCAAGGACGATGGCTATTGCAAACAAGATGAGGATCCATGGTGAAAATCTGGAGGATGTTGCCATAGTTGAGAAAATCCTTTGGTCTATGACAACAAAATTCAATTATGTTGTTTGTTCAATTGAGGAGTCAAATAATATTGAG